AACCATTCCCGATGAGGTGTCATATGGAAGGAGGCACCTGAATCAAGAATCCACTGATTGCATAGTTCCACACATTTTGTAGCAGTCAAGGCATCCCCGTCTTCTGCAAAATCAAGACTCTGCACAAGATTTCCTTGAAAATTGTCAGTACTGGAATCCTCACCTCTCTTTGCTCTACAGTCCTTCCTTGCATGCCTTGACTTTCCACAGTTCTAGCATCTCATTTTCTTCTTCCCTTTAGACTTGGATCTAGACCGATCGCCGGAACTTTTTTTAACAGATCTACCACGTGCATACATAGCATCTCTAGGACTAGATTGGCTAGATTTTCGCCTCATCTCCTCAGTTAATAGTGATGCTACAACAGAGTCCATATCAAGAACCTTCACATGGCTCAAACTCATTATCAGGTTATCCCAAGAGTCAGGCATAGAACATAGGAAGATACTTCCTTTCTCTTCATCATCAATTTTAACATAAAGAGACAGAAGCTTACTAGTAAGGGAATTGAATTCATTGAGGTGCTCTTGTACTGACCCTCCATCTTTCATCTTCAAGTTGTAAAGCTGCCGCCTTAGAAAAATCTTGTTTGCCAACGACTTGCCTTCATAAATATTCTTAAGCTTTTCCCAAAGCCCTTTTGCAGTTGACTCTGTCTCTACATTGAACAGAACATTGTCATCCAGCGCCAGTTGCAAATTTGCCAAGGCCATCTCGTCCTTCTCAGAGAATTGCTTATCCGTCATTCCTTCGAGTTTCTCTTCTCTTGGCAAGAGAGCAACTGCACAACCATCCTTCACGAGCACTGCATGCATCTTCAATTTCCATAGTGCAAAATTTGATCCATCAAAATGTGAAATCTCAAATTTTGTACCACCACCTTTTCCTGCCATAATGATCAGCACAAACAAAGCCTTCTACAACCACAGCTCTGATACCAAAATGATAAGTTAAAAGTGGATCAAGTGTAAAATGGTGTTTATGCATATAGCAAGAGAGGAACTAAATGACAGCAAATTGAAGAATGAGAAGTACAGTGATTGGAAAATGAAATGACTTTTATTGCTGAATATTGAAAGCAGAACAACTATAACAAGAAAATATGATGAAAAGATGAGAATTTGACACACAGTGCAACTGGTCATTCTCCTTATTTATAGACAGCAAAATAACAGAAGTTTGTTGTAACTCTCTGCTAAAAACGTGGCTTCATACCAGATAAAAAATCTGGTATGCTCCAGCAGCTCCACTTTATTAGGACTCCACTAACAGTCTTATTTGACTTGGTCTTCAACAAGAACTTTAATTTTATGAGAATGATTAGCACAACTGGAAAAGGGTGACGGTTTAAGTGTAGTATTTTGGAAGCATAGCTTCTCTGACGTGGGCT